AAAGAAAGAAATTCGTGCCAATTATTATGCATAACACACTACTTGACTAGTGAAACGAAAAAGTAATAAATAATAATTTTAGGAGGAATCTGTAAGAGAGAGACAAAAGACCGAAGGCGATCAATGTAGCCAAAAAAGCAATTCGATTGTATTATTGTCTGTGTGTATGTGTGTGTGCGCGCGCGAAAGTTAAGTATGTTCAAATTAATGTTTTCTTTAAAGAATAAAATTAAATGAATAAAATTACCGTCGACCCCACGGGGATGGATAAAGATTAGTTTCTATTAAGTCGAAGTTGCGTTAAAGTTTACGTGTACACTATAACAACAGAATTCTAATATATATATTTTTTAAGTGAACGTTTGCGAAATTTTTATGGCTTGTTGAAAAAAAAATAAATAAATAAATAAATAAAAAAAAAAAATGTAAATATGTATTTACAAATACGAATTCCGAAAGTCGAATTGTTTATTTTATTAAATTTTATTGTAAAACTTACAGGTTGCGTGTCGTAAATTTCCAGATTCCATATTTATACATTATAAATAAATCAACACAATTAAATCATTTCGCCATGGAAATTGAGAAATTACATGCTTCAAAACCGAGAACAGCGGCATATAAATAAGCAAGATAAATTTTAAAAAAATGGTATTACACAATGTTCGCCTCAGTGAGGTTCTCGTGTAGCACGGCAATAAACTTGTGAAGCGCGCAGGATTCCTTCTGTGTTCCAATCTGTGTTTGATTATCGGGACCGCGTACTCTTAGCCAATGTTTTTTTTTTTTTTTTTTTTTTTTTTTCCCGATAAATAAGAAAATAAATATATAGAAAGGCTCTGAATTGAGATGTTTTCTTGAATTGCTGAAAAAAAATATTTCACGCTTCAGCTTGAGAAATGTAGAAAATGTGCTAAACAAGGAAATGAGTAAAATAAAACTTGTCCAATATGATTATTCACAAATGTCTGCCAATATAATTTCTTCGTAGTCCTGTTTTCAAGATTTACTGCAAAACTTATACTTTTTTCATTTTCAATTGGTTTATCATAACAACCTTAAGATTTGTGATTTCAAGCGACGATAATTTTTTATAAGCAACTCGAATCGTTTCACCGCATATTCTTGGGACACGAATATTATTATCTTTACATGCTCTCGAAAAAATGTTCTATCTCTCCATACCATTGAAAATTAACATTTACTTTCGTATATCTGCCTGCTCTGCTTATAATTTTTATTTTCGAGTATCTACGTACACAAACGAGAAGAATGACAATCATAAAAAGCAGGGGAGTGGACATTACGCGTACATAATTAACGATTAAGAAGAACATATTTTCAAAACGCATGTAAACGGTTAAAAAAAAAACTAAGAGATAAAAATAAAAATAGACAAGACTCTAAAAACAAAGGAGGACGCTATTACTCTGTCGTTTGTAGAACTCGTATGTAAAAAAATAACTACATAATAGAAGATGCAATCAACCTCTAACTTAACTTGTGTATGATAAAAAAAAAAAAAAAAAAAAAAAAAAAAAAAAAAAAACCGCATTTTGCATGACGATGTCTCGCTGAAAGCAAAACTAGTGATTTTACGTGTAGTTAAGCGCTGTTAGTTAAGACAGGAACAAACTAAAAAAGGAAAGTTTGAGAGCTGATTTCAATGTTGAGAAAAGTAATCGAGTGTCAATAATACGGAGGGTGCGCCCGAATTCTCGTCGACCGGAAGATGAGTGGCAAGAGAGATTATTACGTAAGAAAAAAAAAAAAAAAAAACTTTTACATAACTATACCTTATTTTTTCCTTTTCTATATATTATACGTAGACCTTGTAAGCGATAGTTAATTCGTGGTTTTACAACATTAAGAGCGATTAAATGTAATTACAGCATTATTTGTTGTTATTGATTTATATACGTCGATTTATATAGATATGTAAACTATGGGATGTATTATGATAACGATGATAACAAAGTCGACAACGACGGCGACGATGACTACGCGATGATAAATTATTCTTACAATAATTATCGCTTAGAGATTACGATGATGAGGATGATAATGAACGAATAACAACAACAAAAAAAAAAAAAAGAAATCCGTATTTTTTACCATTAAGTTCTAAACGCTATACTTTTTAAATAGTTATATAACATATATATATATACGTATAAAGACATTGCATTTTGAATAATTCCCTTTTTGCACCACTTTACCCTCTTCATCGCTCCTCTCATGTACACCCTCATCTTTGTCCGACTCTACTTTCGTTTTCCTTCGACTGTCTCGAAGCTCATCCTTCCATTTCTCCTTTTCTCTCTCAACATCCCTCTAACGCTCCCTTGAACAGACTAATAGTGTATATCATCCCTTACGAAAAATGGTGTTGTACTTTTTCATATAAAAGGCATTGCCGAAAATAAATATGGGGTTGGAAGACTTGAAATCCAATGTGTTTTCTTTGTTTTTCTTTGCAGTCTCCATTTTTACCTTTATCCTTGACTACCTATATAAGTACGCAAGAGCTTACGATTCGAGCTGTGAGTAAGTCATTAGAGGATGACCAAAGTGAAAACAAGAAAAATATGGTTTTTGAACAATTTTTATTATAAAATATATTAGAACTTAATTAAGTACAAATTCTACATATGATGGATTATTCGTAACAATTTACCTGATATAGTATGGAAGTAGATCCACAACAATCGCACTCAACTTCTTAAAAACTATTTATACAATAACAGGGTGTTTGATGCGCCGTAACACGTTTATTCCGTAGAAAAACGGAAAAGAAAAACAAACTCAGAGAAAAACATTTTAATGAAAAATTCTCCTCCTTTTTGTCTCTATTGTACAGGTCTTGAAATATTCACTCACTTATGTTTTTTATGTACATCACAACCAAGAAAAGGTGATTTCAAGTCAAACGGGTGAATTCAAACATCTTAAAAATATCTTAAAATGCAATTGTCGACTACTTGCTCGTCAACGCAACGATCTATTTAAAAAAATCAAAATTCATTTGAAAAGTCTTGCAAATCTTTAAAGTACGTACATTCGTCAGAGTTTTATAAATGTTCATTCAGTACAGAAAATAATTCGCGCAGACTCCAAACTTTGGCCCTTTTTTATCCCAAGTCAAAGTTGAAGGTCTGCACAAAACCTTTTTTTAAGCTATTCCAATGAATAGACGTACTCTTTCATTCGAAGCGAACGATCTTTCGTTGTCAACATTATCACCAAAGTGCTACCTCGGGAGCTGACACACAAGATACGTCACCCTGCAATTATCAGCCTTTGTTACTTTTTTGTAAGAATCTTTTGTTATTTTCATTTGATTGAAATGGCCCCCGAACATCAGTCTTACATGTTTTTTAAAAATTTTTATTAATAAGTATAAATTGAACAATCGTCCTTGTTAATGATAAAAGTAATATAATAATATATAATGTACCTCGAGTCATTCAAAAATAACAATTATAAAGAATATACTCAAGGCCTCGCACCCATGGTCTTTAATTTTTTATTGTAAAACTTACAGGTTGCGTGTCGTAAATTTCCAGATTCCATATTTATACATTATAAATAAATCAACACAATTAAATCATTTCGCCATGGAAATTGAGAAATTACATGCTTCAAAACCGAGAACAGCGGCATATAAATAAGCAAGATAAATTTTAAAAAAATGGTATTACACAATGTTCGCCTCAGTGAGGTTCTCGTGTAGCACGGCAATAAACTTGTGAAGCGCGCAGGATTCCTTCTGTGTTCCAATCTGTGTTTGATTATCGGGACCGCGTACTCTTAGCCAATGTTTTTTTTTTTTTTTTTTTTTATTTTATAGGTGAAAAAAAAAAAAAAAAAAAAAAAAAAAAAAAAAAAAAAANTACATGTTTTTTAAAAATTTTTATTAATAAGTATAAATTGAACAATCGTCCTTGTTAATGATAAAAGTAATATAATAATATATAATGTACCTCGAGTCATTCAAAAATAACAATTATAAAGAATATACTCAAGGCCTCGCACCCATGGTCTTTAATTTACAGTCTCGCAAAACTAACAAATATACAATAGATACGTACATTAAACATGAAAAAAAAAAAAAATACTTTTATTACTCGTATCGGAGTTGCATTGGATTGCGTTCGCGTAGTGACGTTAAAGTATTGATCTCTCGTCAGTACGTCTGGAAATCGTGTAATTTATAAGGATGCTGTTTTATCTACATAGTTTACTACCTGTGGAGAGCACACGCGTATACTAATGTGAATTCGGAAAAAAGTGAAAGAAACATTTAAAAAATGAATAGGAACCAGCCTATGTGTATGTGTCAGTTGACAAAAGTGTCGTTTGGATTTTCAAAAATAACTTAGCAGCAGTATGATGACAGCATACAATTACACGTAGAAAGAATAACGCAATGCTGAACCGTTTTTTTTTTTTTCCTGTCAACTGTACATTAAAAAACTATCAACCGTAAATTTAAACAATCTACTGCCTAAATATTTTCTTAGCAGCAGGGTACTGATTGAATCAACAATATTCAATTTTTCGATTTCGATGTTTAAACGCTCGGTTTTTCAAAAGCAAAAAGAAAAACGACAAACCCTCACTGATCCGTGAATAAAAAAAAAAAAATGTTTTAAATGTACAATTCACATTTCACAATGATTATCGCTGACGAACAGCAAAATTATTTACAATTGCCAATTGTACCAAATACAATCGATCATCTCCGAGATATTTTTCAAAAAGAGATAATTACTTACGGGAAAAAAAAAAAAAAGGACTCAATTAATTCTTACCGCGCAGCTTGCACTTGAGCAGAACAAATGTCCGTCACCTCGGCAAGCCGGCGCTTCTTCGCGTAGGCCGCCTTGACGAACCTGCTCGTTTCGGTGATGAGGTTGTCGAGCACCGCGGCAGTCAGCTCGTTCTTTATGGTCAGCCCATCGTAGTCGTAGGTGGTCCATTCCTTCTCCTCCTGCTGAGCCTCCTTGGCCAGCAGCTCGTCCACCCTGTCCCTACGTTTCCGGCTCCAACGCATGACCAAATTCTCACGCTGGGGTTTTGACTTGAAGCCCAGCAGCGTGGCCACCTCCTTCGACACGTACTCGTTGAGCTCCTCGAGTGACCTGGGCACCTTGAGGCTCGGCCCGCTTTTCACGGTGATCTGCATCCAGCTGGGCTTGGACTCCTCGTACTCGCTCTGGTACAGGTCGACGACGAGTTCCTTGCACAGGTCGAAGAGAAAGGTGTTGTAGATGCGCCGGTCCCTCTTGAGCGGCTCGTTGCTGTCGTTGGCCCCTTGCTCGTCCTTGCTCAGCTCGCAGATCTCGCTCGGCGCCTCCAAGAGCGGCAGGTGCTCACCCGACTGCTTGGCTTCGTAGATAAACGCGGCGATCCTGTCGGTGATGACCGTGAGCTCCTCGGCGCTCGCTGGCACGACCGACGGCGGCGGCGAGGGCGAGTCGTTGAAGCTAGTGGACAGCCGTCCCGCGCCCGGAGGAGTGTAAGGAGGGGGCGGCTTGTTCGGGATCTCGCGGAAGTAGTACGACACCTCCTCGGCTTCCAGTTTTTTTATCTATATACGTGCAGGGATATGGATTTAAGGTTCGCTTTTTTTTAGTATATATAGATTTTCGATAACAAGTTTTTCCCATACCTCCAGCTCGATTTTCAGATTTTCTATCTGAAGGAGTTTGGCTTCGAGGGCCGCGTACTCTATTCCTGGTTGCTCCAGAGAAGCTAGTCAGACAAAATGTTATTAGACTTCTTGAAAATCATTTGACTTTTTTTTTAAAAGGGGATCGGGGGATCTAAATTTCAATAAGTAAATTGCCACTAGTTGTACTTGATAGGAAGTTGTATGGTATAATTTTTATTTCGAGTGCCGCAAAAAGTTTTACTTAAATATCTTGGTTTGAGGTATAAGTATATGACTAAGGGAAGGTTTTTCGATGCAAACAAAAATTTATACAAGATTGAAGCTGTGTTTTAACATTTCATACTGATTCATTATTGATTTGATAATGTTATAAATTATCTTTAATCTATTTTGTACTCAATGTTATAACTAACTAAATACATCGGTCTTAGAGAATACGAAAAAGGGAATGGTATTTACAAAATAAAAGCGTTTTCATAATGATACAACAATATCACTAAGACCGATGCGCCTTTCAAATGTATAGTTATTTTTTCAGTTACGGTATACTTACACACGAATAATATGTAAATGAACATTTCAAATGGTTGGAAGAATTAGGGGAAAACAAATTTTTATGTGATATATGTATGAACAAGCTTTTGAGGTGCAATTGTCATTATCATACATAAATTATAAAGTAGACATTATGTACATTAACGGTCAAGCATATATAATCATGCGACAATTTTACAAAGAAGACAAGTCAATGGATCGTGTCATTCCATATTTTTGTCGTATGTATATGAATTACCTTTATGAAAAATTATATCTCGACTTTGCTATTCTGTAAAATAAACAACATTTTTGCTATACCAGGCAAGGCTTTTTATCACAAGAGCACAGAGCCATTTACATAAAAAAAAAAAAAAAAAAAAAAAATCATAATGAAATTCGTCCGCTTAAGTGCTTCTTTTTCTGTTTTATATGTACCTTTGGTCAAAAATATTTATCATATTAGTATGATACAATATGAGAAAACGCATTTAGCAAGGGCAAACAATATCTCTCATGAAAAATAATGAAATGTATAACAACAAATATTGATTAATTATAGAATTCAACTTTTATGTGATTATTTAGAACAATTAATGTTCTAATGTTAAAAAAAAAAATTATGAATGTATAGAAATTTGATGAAAAGCGTTTGTGTGTGTCATGAAATGAAAAATATTAATTTACATTGAGAAATATCGTTAAAACCAGCATTTTACTACTTTCGAAGCTTTAAGTGCACTTGATGAATCAATAACGACTTTCATTACTGAAGTAGTTAAACATGAAACATACAAATTTCGTCATTGATGCGTCATAAGATGGACAGCCACGAAAATGAAGGATGATAAGTCGAACGATAAGAATAAGTAGAAAAATGACAAATAGTTCAGATGCATTACCTTGCAACTTGTGAATCATGGCCTTGATATCCTTTTCAGAGCTAACCCCCATCGGCCTCGTGTGGAATTCAGTCTTTGCTTCGTTCTCCGGTGACTGTACAAGCAGCGAATTTCCACTCAGAAGATCGTCGTCCAGAATATCGACGTCCAATCGAGAATTATCGTTGGCACCTTTAGGTGAATCCATGTCAATTTCGGAGATGCCACTCGGTGTGTCCATGCCATCGCTCAAGCTTGACTCAGCAGCATTTTTAGGAACGTCCTTTGGCAGGTAAGTTTCCTCCCCATCACCAGGTATTTTGGGTCCTTTAGCTTCGTCTTCTGCAATTTCTTCCGGGGAGTTGACTTTGGGCCTAGACTTTGTTCTGACTTCGCTAGGAGACTTTTCTGGAGACGCGACAACTGTTTTTTCCGGTGAAACTTCTACACCGACGGTCTTGGAATCATCACTTTTATCATTATCCCCAACACCAACGTCTTTATTCTGCTCTTTAAAACTGACCGTAGATTTGTTCGATAATTCATCAAGTATACGCAATACTTCATCCGACTTCGACTTGATCACGTACTTTTCGGGTACCTTTGAGAACTTTTTCGGCTTTCGCCTAGCACGCTCTGACTTGTCGAGAATCTCCGAAACTTCTAGGCTCTCTTCCGAAATGTCTTCATACTCCGGATCTTTTATGACCTCGAACGTCCTGTTCAAGACGACTGTGACATGGTTTTTCGACGTTTCGGTAGAAACATTCTTCACTTCCGTTCCAGCTGATTTTTCTTCGTCGAACGATCGTTTTTCTATAGTATCATTTGTAGTCTCAGCTACTTCCACCAAATTATCCAGCTGCTCACCATCCGAACTTCCTCGATCTTCTGTTTCTACTTCTTTGGCACTGGTTGTCATTTGAACTTCATTTTGCTCCAATGGAGAACTCAATTTAAGCTTTTCTTTACTCTTTTCCTCTTCATCGTCGACGAGCTGAATTTCAATACCAATTTCTATTTTTGGCAAATAGTCATCAACCGGCGATTGATCTTTTTCCAACCCTTCTGAATTACTAGCATCGTTTTTGCCTTCGATATCTTCTTCTATGCTCTCGGATACGTCATCCGCGGACTTATTTATGATTGAAATCTCATGCTCGATTGGACTTTCACCTATTTCATCGGCTTTCTGCAAATTTTGACTTTCTAATTCTAAAATTGCTGGAGCTGGAAGCACTGCATTGGGATCTTCATTGATTTCTGTCTTTTCGATAATATCAAGAATATCATTGAATTCTTTCGAACGAATACCGATGTCTTCAGTCGTCTCGTCGAGCTTGAGCACAAAGGTATCCTGGATGTTTGTTGACTCACCCCTGGGAATGAACAGAGCCGAGTCTTCCATATCGCTGAGCCCGTTTTGACACTCGCTTTTGTTCATTTTTGAAATCGTGCTTCGCTCTGGCTGCAAGTCGACAGCTTTCGAGTCTTTGTTCCCAAAATTTTGAATGTCAAAGGAATCAGATGATACCCAGTCATCCGACTCTGCCGTTTTATTTAATGAATCATCAGTCTCAAGATTAACCTCCTCAACAGTGGACACTTTGTCTTGGTTGTCTTCGTCTTCAGATGCCGAGTGAGCTCCATTGTCAATATTTTCCTTATCATCGGCTTTGGATGTGATATGGTTTATTGAAATTTCTTTGGCTGCTGATGGTTTGATTTCTTCCACACACACATCGGCATCATCTGTTTGAATGCAATCTGTGCTAACTACTTCGTTATCAGTCTTTGAAATTACTATCTCCATCGGAGACACTTTTTCAGTGGTAGAAATTCCAGTTTCAATACTTTTATCTTCCACAGCAGTGTGAATTTCATTTTCGGCAGTATTTTTATCGTCAATTTTCAATGCTACTATTTGTTCCGAAGAAACTACTCCTCTCGTTAGTTCTGATTCATCACTATTATTATCTTGAATATGATAACTAGTGAACTTTTCAGAGTCCGAGCGATATGTATCGTCTTTTTGAGCACTGATAAATTCGTCTGAAGATTTAGATGACATGTGCACTAAATGCCGAGATTCATCAGGAGAAATTTTGTCCTGATCTTCTTTAACGGCAGTTACAATTATTTCTGATATAATAGTATCAGTTTGTGTATCGAATACTTTCTCATTTTCAATGGATGGAGAAGCCACGTGAGTAGAAATTTCTTCGGTTGTTGTGATTTTATTAGGTGTTTCTACCGTTTGAGCTCGAACATCGAGTTCCTCAATCGAAGTGACTAAATCATCCGTTTCTGGAACTACATCTGACAAAATTTTCTTAACCCTAGCATGCAAATCATCGTCAATAGTGTTCATTTTCAAGTTTGATTCGGATACTGGCAATTCCTCGGAGACGTCCTTCGAGGTACTTTTATCCGTGTCTTTAGACAATCTGTGGCTTTGATCAATCGAATCCGATCTGTTGTCGTTCGTCTTTTTGCCAAAGCTCGACATCATTTCTGTCAAAGCTTTCAGATCACTTTCTAAATTGTGAATGTCATCATTCAACTCTTTGTTATGTAACTGAATGTGATCCAACTTTTTAGAAAATATCAACGAAGTGTCATCATAATCGGGCGATAATTCTTCTTCGATGTTAGAACCTTCCATCGGATATCTTTTGGAGACTGTACCCGCACTGTGCTCCAACACACCCGGAGGCGACACAGCTTCCGAAATTTTCGGAGTTTGCACGTGTCCGGACTGCGATCTGACCGAATAACTTTCGCTCGGAATCTCCTCGGAAATGTTGCTGCTCTGCGACGATGATCTCTTCATTTCGTGCACTTCCCGTTCCGTGATCACACTGTTTTGCGTCGCGATTTCTTCCGAGTTGGATTTCGTTTTGTACGATTGCACCGCACTCGCGTCCGACTTTTCCGACAGTTCATTTTCGAGCTCATCGTTGACAGTATACAAGCTAGCAACCGACGACGGCTCGCCCGGGCTCTTGCTCTTCGAAGAATCCCTATCAACGTCATTGGTGCTCGTCGAGTCGGCTTTCGGCCTGTCGTAGTTTCTTGCCGATATAACGTCGGAATCGGATTTTGAGCGCAGCAAGTCGCTGTTTTTGTAAATTTCCTGTATCTTCTTGATGGGAATTTCAGGCACTTTGAAATCAATAACCGATTTTGGATCACCCGCGAGCCTCTCTATCTCCTTCGAGGACACCTTTCTCGAGTCCAGCTTCTTGCGCATATCGCGAATCGTCCCGTCGTACTTCTGCAAAATTCGATAAAAAAAGTAATACCAATCCTAGGCGTATCTTACGAACTCGCTTGGCCCTAAAAATAACTCACCTTAATTTGATTCAATAAATTAGCCTCGACTGCCCTGAGCCTTTGCTTGACCTTTTTACGGGCCTCCTTCTTCAGCCGCGCCATCTCCAATCGGCGATCGGCCAACTCTTGCGTGAGCAGCTCGATTCGGCCCTCGACGTCGCTCGTGTCCGACGAAACCGTTGTGTCTGAAAGACAAACCGTTTCAACCGACGAATTTCGCCTTCGACAACCAACGTGGTATTGTTTACGCTCGGCGATTGTTATTGTTTTTGCGGGCGTGCGGTGCGCGAGAGGGACACGTGACCGGGAGCTTGAGGAAATGTAAATCGCCGAGTGCGCTGATTCAAACTTGATTATTGCTCTCAATAAATACACTTTGGAGCGACAATAATCAAAGAAAAAAAAAAAAAAAAAAAAAGAAGAAGAAGAAAAGAAACGAATACACGTGAACGTGGTATTGGAATTCCAAAGATTCCCCGAAAGCGATTAAGATACCGCATATCGAAAATACCAATAGCGTGATGTATGAAAATTAAAAATAAAAAGAAGAAGAAGAGCACCGGATNGTGAACGTGGTATTGGAATTCCAAAGATTCCCCGAAAGCGATTAAGATACCGCATATCGAAAATACCAATAGCGTGATGTATGAAAATTAAAAATAAAAAGAAGAAGAAAAAAAAAAAAAAAAAGGAATCGAGTTACACGTAGTACAGCAACTTAATATACATTTACGCAAAACAATGTGATTTCCCGGTAATTATTGTTGTTTATGAAATGAAATCGATGCAAATCCAAGTCACGAAATTTACGGACGAAAAAACGCGAGTTTTAAAAACGAAAGCTCGGAACAACGATGTGTCGACGATGTATGGAAATAAAACGAGTAGCGTAATAATGCGGGGAGGAGGGGAGGGGGGGGGGAAGGAGCCGGCAAAAAAAGAAAAATTGTCCACTACTCACCATTGTGGGACAGAGCTTTGGCGGTGGCACTGACAAGCTTGTAGGCGGCCTGCTCCATCCGTGCTACGCGATTTTCTTCCTCGCGCAGCCGCGCATGCCAGGCGATCCACTCCTCGACGCAGTTGCGCCTTGAGACGAGCGTGGCCTCGCGAGCCTTCAGGATTCTATAAATCAAAGCGCAAGCACCTCATCGTCAGATAAACTTCTTGTATACGTGTGCGCGCTTACGATACGTCGTCGAACGCGCCAGCTTTTCCTTCTAATGCCTCTCCGCCGCGGTTAGCCGATAAAGAGAGAGAAAGAGAGAGAGAGAGGTCTTCGCGGGGGAAAGCTCGCGCGAGACGGCTGCTGCAGTCGCGGCGATATTTCGTTTACGAATACACGTACGTAGATTGTGCGTACGTACGAGAGCCGAGAGCGGAACACGTCTATTTTTACGGGCTCGCGTTCGGTGTTGTGTACACGCGACGCGTTTATAATTAGATCGACTACTGCGTGTCCAGCCATCGCACGGTGGTTCGTCTGGGGGTACACCTTCTCTCTTCCATCTTCTCCACCTCTCGAGGCAGCATGCAAGCACCGTTTGCGCCCACTTTACTTTGATGACCTCCCGTAATGCAAGGGAGAAAGAGAGCGAGCTTGAGCTTGCGAGAACCGGATATCTCGGAAAAGCCCGGTGTTTCATTCCTCGACGGCTATTTCGATTCAATTTACAACTGTTGTTTACAATCGGATGTTAAAAGTAGCTCGGAAACATCGGCCGACTGAAATATTGTGGTAGCGCGGCGACGCGCACACTTAGATGTCGAAACGAAATTCCTTGATTCATGGGTAAGCTCTTTCTAAGAAAAAAAAAAAAAAAAAAAAAAAAAAAAATGTTTTGATGCGAAAGTCAACTTACTGCTCGAGTTTTTTCGAATTCTTCAAGCCCGTGGTATGGTGATGGTGATGGTCCTGCTGTGATCTGATGACAACCGATCTCGAGTAACTTCGGTCACTGTCGTTGGAACTCTGGTGGGATATCGTAAGACTGAGCTGAGACCTTGCCGACGTGTTGCCCAGCAAAACGTTCTCTTCCTCGTCCTTTTGCGACAGCGGACTCTCCGAGTTTTCAGCTACGGCGTTGTTCCGCTCGTCGTTGATGTCTTGCAATATCTGCCGATTTCGTTCTTTCAGCAGAGTCGAGTGCTTCAACAGAGCGTGCAGCGAGCTTTGACTCTCGTTAAAGTCAAGTTCTTCCAACATCGAGTTCTGGTAATTGTCGTCTGATAACTGGTCGCTGTCGATTTTGGACCGTTTGTTGAGATGCTGGTAAATGTCGTCGGTGCAGTTTGAATCTTCCGATTTTGAGATGGATTCGGACTGAGAAGACTTGGATTTCTGGTTCTTCAAGCCCTTGCGTTTTGCATTTTTATCCGACAGCGCATATTGATGCTGCTGCTGTTGCTGCAGTTTGCGTGCTGGTTCTTTCTCGATTTTACTCGAGGACGACGATATTCGTTGCATCTTTTTAAATGCCTCTATGGTTTCAGGAGCTTCCAAAACGGTTAGCGACTGAAAATTCCATAACATGGATTAAAATTAAATTTTTTTTTTTTTTCATTTACAAGTATAATCATGTTTGTCACATACCTCTGAGTCAATGTTGGGAAACTGTGACTTCAAAACTTGCGCGAATTCTTCAATGATGGCGTCAGATTCCGACTTGATGTGTTCCGAAATCGATTTATCGTCGTCATCTTGACTCACATTCACGTTGTGCCTCAACACAAGATCCAAGTCGTACTGCTTCATTTTATCCGCCTTGGGCATTTTTTCTTCAAACTTTCGTGCCTTCAAGTCATACTTGAGCTTTACTGCTGCAGCAATGTCTTTTTGTTGTTTAACACTATCGGCTTTAAACGACTTTTTATCAATTGTATTTTCCGAACTATGTATCCCCTGAAAAAAAAACAATTTTGACAAAGAGAAACACACTAGTCATTAGTTGAAAATGTACTATTAAAGAAAAAAAAAAAATTACCTGTCTCAGAACGGATTCCGCTTCTAATCTAGAGCACGCCTGGTCATTATTCTCGGGCGAGATATCAGATAAGTTCATTTTGAAATCGAACTGAGAACGATCAAGCTGTGACTTATCGGAATCGACTAGCGAACTTATCGACGAGTTACTACGAATATCGTATCCCTTCATGGGTCCTGAAAGCCGTCTCGGCGATTGACTATCAGCGCTTCGTTTTAACTTGTTAAGTATGGTTCTTGTCGACATTTCAGGATTAAACATATCACGTTGCTTTTGCAACAAAAGTTTTCTCTCTTGACTAGCTATTTTGTGAAGTTCTTTCAACCTACAAGTAAATAATACGATTTTAATTACATTACTTCACGAATATGATAAAACTCGATTTTTTTTAATTTAACTAACTTATAAATCATCGATAATTTAAAAAAAAAAAAAAAAAAAAACTTTTACATAACTATACCTTATTTTTTCCTTTTCTATATATTATACGTAGACCTTGTAAGCGATAGTTAATTCGTGGTNTCTCTCTTGACTAGCTATTTTGTGAAGTTCTTTCAACCTACAAGTAAATAATACGATTTTAATTACATTACTTCACGAATATGATAAAACTCGATTTTTTTTAATTTAACTAACTTATAAATCATCGATAATTTAAAAAAAAAAAAAAAAAAAAAAAAAAAACTTTCTTATCAATAATCGTGGCATTGAAATTCAAGTGGGTTTTTAAAATTCCGCAGCTATGCGTTGACAACAAGAAAAGACGATTGTAGCGTAGAAAGAATTCTATGTGAGTAGATAAGACGGAATGTTGTTGTACATCCGATTGCTTTGATAAGCAAGCAAGTGCGCAACACTATGGAATCATCCGCTACACTGTATCCCTCGTTACCTGTTCATTTCATCTTTCTCCTGCTGAAGCTTAAGCAACAGAGCCCGCTGCTTCTTCTTGACCGAGCTGATCCGACTGTCTTGGCCGGTGTCCCTAAGCGCGCGCTTTTGCTCCTCGAGTTTTATCAACTTTTTAGTTCGGTCGTTCAAGGTTTTTTCGCGTGATTTGAAAAGCATTTCGATCTTATCGTATCTCTGACGCTCATCTTTTATCAACTGCGCCATCTACAGGTGGAAAAAAGTAGGTATCGGTTATCAACTTTCGAACAAATTTACTTATGATTATTATCATATGACCACCGTTACTATTACTTCATTTGGTATACGTGCATGCTATTTCATTTTTGTATTACGTAATTGTTGATTGCGAGACTAACTCTTTTTTTTTTTAAACTTGCTCCAAATTCTAAAAATCGTATTTTATCTAGATTTAGATAACATAAGTACTGATTTAAGAGGCACATTTATCCAAGATGATTATTTGTTTGTTTTTTTTCATGTTTTTTAGGTTTTAGCTTCAATTACATATTTTTAACGATTACATACAAATTAAATCAGAGAATTTCGATTGCAAAAATTATAAATCTCGAGTTGAGCAAAGAGTAAACAAAGCATACCTCAAGGTCTAAATATTTGTTGAAAGAACAAGTGACATCTCGAGTTGATATGCTGATTTCCGTGCCAGTTTCTGTCTTTATGGAGGAAGTCGTTTCGTACATGCTGATCTCGGATGTTGTTCTCATTCTGTTTGGCATGGAAATATTCTCGATACGATCCACTGCACCATCGCATCTACTCTCATCCAAAGAAACGCCAAAAATGTCATTTTTATTCGTTACTACTCTGGAGCACACCAACGAATTATCGGTCTTGTGCTGATGAAACATTGTGTCCGTTTGCGTCGCGATATCGTTCGCCGTTTGCGTTTGCACCTCTGCTACTTTGACAGCTGGCTTTTGGATTATTTTTTTAGCATCACTGTTAATTTCCATGGAAGTAATTTCATTTTTTTTGGACTCGTTGTCTTTTTTATCATTTGACAAAGATGCTGTGAGTCTTTTTGAATCGTCACTGGATAATCTCGATCTGTCGGTATCTAACGTCTGCTGTAACGATCCGGTAAACGAATCTAGTAATGCCGACTGTCGTTGTGTTCCCTGAAATAAAAATTACGGTACGTTGATTTCATGGAATGAATTTTAAATTGAAAAAAATAGTATAAAAAGTAATTACCATAAGCGACTGTTCACTATCTTGACTGTTCTTTAACGAACTTTGTTTGGAATCTTTTTCATCACTGTCATTTTCCCTTCCAATTGGAGCCTTTCTTCTTTTAGACGAACGAATCGTCAAATTCATATCTGGTGTAATCAAATCAGCAAACTCAGCCTGGTTTGAATAGCTCGTGTCTCTAAAAGATATCCTAAGGGGATCCAACAACTTTTCAGACAATGAACTATCTTGTGAAATTTTTGTTTCAATTATACTGTTATTGGAAATAAGATCGGACGCGGTCAGAACATCATCAGAGTATTGATAATTCTCATTGTTACGATTGCTACCTGAATGACTTCTTTCAACGACGTCTTTACTTTTTAGTGTCGACGATGAGGATGTTTCTGTAGCAAAGTTTTGACTTTTTGAAAGACTAGCTGTGGAAGTAAGGTCTTCGCTTATCTCGGAGGAGTGTTTGGAATCGGCTTTCATCAACTTTTGCTTGTCCAAAATTCTCTTGCTCTGGTCTCGCGTCAAAGTGTCTATGGTTTTTATTGGACTCGATTTGCTCTGATGCTTCAGCGGCCTTGCTTCAGAATGTGACTTGTGTTTTTGCTCCTCCGACTGTTTCGATGTGTTTACCATCTGACTGTCCTCTTTATGCTTACGATCAGTGATTTCTGAAAGCATAGCCTTGTAACCTTCGCGAATTAATATCTTATCGTGTAATCGTGTCCCTTTCTCCACAGGATACAATGACTCGCTGCTCGACGTACTAGTTCTGGATTCTAAAGTTTTGCTTTTGGACTTTGTTAATGGAACCTTGGTCAACTTATACCGCTTTTCATCATCTTTCCGGGATGTAGAAGTAATGAAACTTTTGGGTTTCGATTTGGGTTTGGAAAATGCATCACTGACTTTTGGACCATGTGACAAAATGCGATCGTTTTTCAATTTCCTATTGACTATGGACTCGGCAATTTCTTTTCTAGATATGTGTCTCTGACTTTCCGGCCACTTCAATACATCCTGAGGATCGTCTTTTTTCACCCTTTTGGTTCTGTTTTCTTTTTCCCGCGAATTATCTCTGGAGACATCTTTTTTCTTGGATATTGTGAGGTCTGGTACTTGAAGAGGCTCGATTTTTTCGTAATTTAACAATGATGTGGAACTAGATGAAGAAAACTCGAGTTTTCTGGGTACTCTTTCGGTAACTTTTGACGACATCCCATCTCTTTGAGCAGCTTCAATTTTTTTCGACAGTTCTTCATTTGATAAAAGACTTTCTCTTGATGAGAAATCAGCCTTGGGTGAGATCTTCAGGTCTGGAACTTTCAGAGGCTTTATAAAGTTCATTGTACCCTCGGGTACCTCTCTACTTTCTTCTGAATCATAAGCTTTTTTGGTAGTAGAATGATTTCTGCCAAGTTCAAGCTTACGCTTGACAGCTGTTAAAAAAGTGAATGGACACGGTTTTATGGAATGATTAAGAGCTATGCTATCTGCAGTTTTCAAACCAGCTTGGTCAGACTTGTTAGTTAAAACTTCTACGCCGGCTGTCTCTACATTATTTTTTCTTCTTTGCTGCCAAGGTTGTCCACATTGATTAGCCTGAAAATAACAAGACCTACAATGTTATGGATTTCCAATTACCTGACTATCAAGGAATTTGCAATTTAAGGTCACACATCATTTATAGCACTAAAAATTTTTAAGAAACGAAAAAATGAGAAAATTTTTAATGTATCAGAGGCAAGTATTTTTAGACAAATAGTTCATGTAGGTGTAATAACAATCTATTTAGCTTTCAAGGAGAAATGTTTTAGCGTACTTGGTTTAGTGGCATTGACATAAGGAAATAAATTTTGAAGCTATATCCTCTCTTTGATACAACTATAGTATTCACACCTTCTCTGGACAGAATAAAATTTTTAAGAATACATACGGCAATCATACTGGATCTTCATGAAAGAGCAGGAGCAAATATACTTTAATTCTGCATACAGGTTTTCCACATCAACAATCTTGCAAGCAACACAAATCAACCGGGCTTTATACATACATTACAACAATACAACCACACTGGGATTGTTTTCACTGTTCATTCTAAGATTAAAATAATGCTGTACTTGAAAAATAAAAAAATAAACCTGATCGCAGGCAATGTAAAAAATTTAATAAACCCAGTATACGTCGCAGCCGCGCTCTCTCTCTCTCGTATGTGCATGTATACATACGTACATGCATGTTACACATGTAAAAACAAAGCCCACCCCCTGGTACGTACAGTCACAGTAGACATGTCGTGAAATTATTTGTGGAATGCAAGCTCACAACCTATCGCATAGCACAGCAACAGTATTTTTTTTATGTATAAATCTGCGTTATAGATATATACGCTTGGGTGCAGGTGAACGTATGGATGTTTACTTATGCATTATAAAATCTATGAGTAGTCCATTGAAATTAGCTTGCGATGTCGCTGATGTTTAACATAATTCCATAAAATACAAATTGTTTTTGATAAATTATAACTTTGGATGGACTATACTTGGCTTGAGCCAAGAAAAAATACAAAATAATGTTCATTGAAAGGCACTACAGTAGTATACAAATGTTAATTCCTAATGGTGGAGAAAAGAAATCTTATTTGAAGTACTTAAAAACTGACGCACAGCAAAAAAGAGACTTTGGGAGAGAGAGGAAGCGCATAACCTGATCCTATACCTCTATACCATTATGATACCTATGGTATGCGTATATTTATCGTCGGTTCGGCTTACTCACCTTGAACTTCGTCATTCCTCCTCTTCCTCCTTCTCATCTGAGACACACCGGGGGAAGTGCAACCTCCTCCGGAGCAGAAACGTCCACGTCAATTACAGATGTATACACAGAGTTGTCTTACCGGTCCTTGTAAACAGATGCGCTATACTGCAGGCTTGATATTGATATGGCTTGAGTTTGTCTCTGAGAGACTAACTGGACCAAAACAACAATCCTTCATCATCTGTAGGACAGAAAAATCACGGAAAGTGCACGGAGAAAGACTCTCCAAACTCGCTAAGTTTCCACTCGCTACTTATAAATAAATCAAGTCACTTTTGAGCGCAAGATCAACCACGCCACAAACCGTCGTTTTTTTTCATAACTCTCTCTCAGTACATCAAAGCCGAGAAAAACGAACCCTCTGCTGTATGCTGGACGCTTAGAATAACATATATATATTTGAGGTCACGTGGTATAACTGCTGCGGAGTTGCGGGATCATATAATTCCTGAGTAGTCACTTTGTTGTTTAATTATTTTTGTATAGGTACTTACATTTCTTGAGTGCAGTACAGTACGCATCTTTGATTAGATCTAACTTTAGAATAACTACTTATTTGTATTCACTATAAATTTGTATCTGATTTAATGGAATTTTTAACTCTAAGATATCTCCATATGGTTATGAGACGTAAGTGACGTCCACAATACTTGCATCGGATATCGGTATCGACACTGTCCAGCGTCACTGTCGGTCAGTTATTGAAAACAGGAGTCACCGCCTTGTATATATCTCTCATATAATCCTCCAAGCCTTCAACCATGAGCATAACCTCTTTATAAACAATTTCTGTGTGTTAAGTGGTAAGGTGTGTTATCAGTCAGTGAAAATTTAAGGGATAAGTCATTTGTCGAAAATTAATTCAACACAATGGCAGAGTCCATGAAGCAAAAACTTGTTGAGATGTTGAAGGGTATCGAAAGGTAATTTATAGTGTAGAAAGACCATTTTAAACACAATCATTGAAGCACATGCATGTCAAAACTATTTTTCATTGTGAATACCAATTCATTCATGGGAATCTATTGTTTTAGGTACAATCCAGACAATCTTGAAACACTGGAACAGTACGTTAAAATACAAGTTTCTGAAAATGCTTATGATCTTGATGCCAACTTGGCCGTTTTGAAGCTGTACCAGCTGAACCCACATCACTTTGACAGAGACATCACTTGTATGATTCTTCTCAAGGCACTAACAAATCTGCCACACACGGATCTTATACTCTGCAAATGTTTGTTGAACAGCAAAATTGTAAGTCCCAGACAAAATTCTACTTGCTTCAAAACATTTACATTGTATGTTTAAATAAAAATTAAACTTTTACAGATGCAGGATCCAGACATCACAAATATCTTGGACTTGGCAAATATGCTAGAAGAATGCCAGTTTCAAATGGCTTGGAGTCAAATTGGAAAAATGTATGACTTGTGCAGTAGAGTAGCAGGTTTTAATGATTCAATCAGAAAATTTATCTGCCATGTCGTTGGAATCACGTTCCAAACGATAAATAAGTATGTGTTGATCGAGCTGCTAGGGGGTAAATCCCATGTCAACGGTAAAATAAATTACTCACTTCTACATTATCCGTAGCATTTAGAATAAAAAGAATTATAGTAATATTTTTGTATTCCAGAGACCATACTCAAGGCATGGATAAAAAAGTATCAATGGAAAGAAGAAGCCGATAATGTTATTTTCATTGCCAACCAAGATGAAAACATCAAAACAAAGAACATTACAGAAAAAATTGAGTTTGATAATGTAGCTGGATTGATGGCTGCATGCTTGTAATTTGTGTGAGGTATTAAAACACTAATTTTTTATTTGAATCATACAAATGTTTTATTCTTTCATCTTTGCTCCCCAGTACTTTTCTTTTAAAATCAAATCAATTTTTACATATTTTGACTTCTGACAGCAAAAATAATCATAAATATCTAAAATAAAATAAATCAACTTTACATAAACTATTTTTAAAAATTAAGTATATTTCACATACATCATTGTTAAAATTATTACTTTGGTGTATACTAATTCACGAACCAATGTAATTATAAAATATGTCAGTTGAGAACTTAAAATATGCACAAAATAAATATTTCTCCTTATAAAGAATCTCTCACATCTTATGTCGATTAAGATTATTAGCTTTTATCAGCAGTCTTTTCCCGAGAATTTATTCAACTCCAAATACCAAAAATGTGACTCCTAAAGATACTTATACCGTTATGATTTAAAGATGACATACGTAGTACCAATTAAAAAGAACCACGTCGGAGTATTTGAGTCCTCTAATGATTCTAGAGACTTACATTACAAACTATTTTTTTCCTAAATAGTGGTACCTCGATTCGAGTTTGTAAAAAAAAATATTTTAATTTACATTGTTAATGCAAAAAACGATTGTTTCTGCAAAAGTCAAGTCAACTCTATTACCATTAAACATGAAATAAATACTGCAAAGTAAAAAAGTACCCTTGATACACTTATAAGCCTACGATTTCTTTTATTACTATAAAGCAATAATATATAATTAAAATTGCTTAAACTTCCTCCAAAGAACCTTAGGATTATGGTATAAAAATTTTATCTATAGATGGTTGCTCATCGTACTAGTGATTTTGTACATGTCTGATATATTTTCGTCTAACTATATACTGTGACGAAAGGTTCAATCAACTACTCGCTTTGGGTAATTAAATTCGTCTGGAAAATCGAGTACAAAAATAAAAACGTCTTAAAGTAGAAAAATAAATCGTTGATATTCTTCCTAAGAGAGATACACTCCCATGGACAAGAAAAAGGAAGATTTGGCTCAAACTTCGTGGTCCACGAGGAAATCACGTCTGTATGAATATCGCGGAGGATTGTGACAGGGTAATAGCCAGAAAATCGGATGGCTCTTGCCGCATACTTGCGAGAGCAAAGCAAAAGTTTTTGTATTCCTGCGATGACTGCTGGTTTGGAGACGCTCGATCGTGGTCTCGTCGTCGAGTATCGCCTGGAACTGATAGACTAAAATGGCGATAACAAACGTGCCAAACATGACCGACTCTAATCCTAGTATCACACAGTGTAAACTGAAAATTACCATTTTTTTATGTTAGTATACTGATTTGTCGTACGTTGGTATAAACTACACCCATATATATTGGAATTCAAGAGGTGCACTTACATGCGAGTTTGTTTGATGGCCATGTCGTTGCTGCACTGTGGACAATCATAAGCCCAAGCTGAAATGAGCAAAGCCACAGCATACATGGCCAACACACCTACGTAGACCAAAAATTGTATGAAGTACTTTTGATTCCTCTCCCCGACGCAGTTGTTGATCCTGCAACAGACCAAGTTGTTGAGCAGTGAACCAAACCAAAAAATAAAAAGAAAACCCATCATGCGAGTGTACATCAACTTACCACGGACAGTGGTGATCCATCTTTTTAATGCACCTCTTGCAAATTCTGCAGTGATGGGCCCTAGGTGGCCTATAAGTCTCGCACCTACGATTTTATCAAGAATAAATTGCCATTATTGAAAGGACCAAAGAATCAAACTATAATTTAGTATCATTTGTTTGTCCTAGCTTCCCAGAGGGAAACAATAAAAGTGCAAAGTTGCTGGAGGTGTGAAAAACGAATTTGCAAAATATTTTAATTATAAGACGCTTAATCCTGATGTAAACTACAAGTATCTAAAATGTTAAAGGGACAATACAATAGGCTCAGCTCATCAGGTGCACCAAAGAGTACATCCTGTTGCCGGAGTAAATAATAAAAAGGTTGCAGGACTTTTTTGTAGAAAATCATTGGGGTTGTCGCAGTCGTACCTGCTGCAGACAGTCCAGTCGTCTCTCTCGTCGCAGTCCTCGCTGCCCGAGCCCGTGTGAATGTCCGAGAAGTCCATCCTCGATTGTGGCAAGGGCACGACTCCTGGATCGGTGCACACGGCCTTCAAGTGCGACATCATCAGCAGCAAAACCACTGTGTTGAATGCGATCACGTGCAATGGACACCAGAGGCTGAAACGAAGCAAGGAGTTTTATCTTTATTTCATTAAAAAAAAAAAAAAAAAAAAAAAAAAANAAAAACTTAAAAAAAAAAAAAAAAAAAAAAAAAAAAAAAAAAAAAAAAAAAAAAACACATAAAACTCGCTAAAAATTATCAACGCTATTAGAATGAAAAAAAATGCAATAATTTTCAGGACAAGCAAAATACATCTGTCACATAGTATAGTTCAAAAGTGTAAGGTACGAATGGCTACATCAGCTCGGAAATTCAACGATTTGTCAACATTGGAGTATTAGATGAAAAATGTGACTGGCATTAATTCAAACACACAAATTATACCTCTCCTGCATGGTGTAAAGTACGATCCACTTGACGACGACATAGTCGGCGTAAAAGACGGCAAGATAAGTGACGATTATGCAGAGAATGCCACAGGGATCCCTTACGAACATTGCTCCTTGGCCTCGGCCACAATTCCTCCGTTACGCATATTATTGTGTTTCATTAATTAGGTATTTGTAGATGTATATGTCCAGATTGGCACCGACGTCCGCTGTTGCTGATATTACTTTGCCGTGCTACATATCATACAGTTTATACACACATACGCACAAGTCTGTACTCCAAAACTACTGCGTGCTGATAACAATGTAACGTTCGCGAACTGCTCCGTCAGCTGATTGTATATTTATTAGTTCCTACCTACAATGTATACCTGTATAAACTCCAGCTCCTTATGATACAAATGACGCTAGGTGAGCTATGACACGCACTTGAAAAATATCAATACACAAGTTATACAGCAGTGATAAGTACTTGTATACTTACATGTAAAATACAAAAATACACAGGTGTGTGGAGAGCTTTTGTCCGATTCTCCCCACTATATAGGTACAAGTATATAAGTTGCACTTATATTCCTTTCGCCGGACCGCGACCGACTTTCACGCAAAGTTTCACCTTATACTTATATATAAATATAGAGGTATCGGCTTTTGGGGTCTTTCACGGGCACCGCACACACGCGCACGTGTAAATACTTTTACTACTACTTGTACGTACATATACATTTGCACGAGCGTGGGATCAAGGCAAATTGAATCATTTGTATTGGTAATCAGATGGGAGCCTTCATTTCTGTAGGAATCTGTACATTAGTCATCATGTGTACATTATATACATGAGTATGATGTATACGCAGTGTTCATATACGTATTTATAAGCGATTCCACTAAAAAAACTTTGCGAAATTAGAGAAGCTTTTTTTTTTTAATGGTGCAGGGAATGAAAGCTTTTTATCTTTTACGTGCTTTTCAGGAGTATGAGGGGGGCGTGACAGTGTGATATTTTATTTTCAATCTACTCCAAAGTTCCGGACAATGAGTTTTTGTTTTACTGTCTGGCTTATTTCCGGGTCTCGGTAATACATGTTCCCAAACGCATCAGTTGAAATAAGTAAAAAAAAAAGTTAATTCAAAGATATTTAAACTCCTTTCAATTTTTGGGGAACCCCCGAATTAAAGGTTTTTTCGCGGAATTTCTCATGTCGCGAGCTATACGGTCACGCCTCTCTAATCGCTGCCATGTTCCGTTTTTCACCAATAACGTGGACAAGCGGTGTTTCGTGGGGAGAAAAACAACGTGATTGGACCAACGAACGAGTTGGAGATTTTTGCGCCGCGATTTAAAAACAAAATTTCGCCCCAACAGTACTTTAACTGGTGAACAGGCTTTTTTCGGGATTCCCCGATTCGTTGATGGCACGTTGCGTCTTAAAAAATCAGTAGAGATTCTTCGAGCTTCATCGGATTCCTTTTTAAATGTGCGTAAGTGCCCCAGTCGATCACCATGATCATGAATTACCATTTTTTTTTGTTTACCCATACATTGAATGGCTTATGAAAACAATAAACAAAACTCGATAGCTAATCGTAAGAACAAAATCAGTATTTTTGCGGATAAACGCATCATAAAACATCATTTGCTTCACCCCCGCCTTCAATGAAATCAACAAATGGACCATCATCGATGGGTGAAAGATACCCAAAAAAGACCTCACGCTCTCTCGATTCACATGGGTATGGAGTATATGCAAATGCGGGTGTAAAAAAACTCACCAACGCCGACGAACGAGTTGATTTACATTTGTCCAGTCTCTTTTCGTCCTTATCGTTGCCCCCCCCCCCCCTACCATCTACTCCGCGTGCCACCCAATTTTATCTCTCATCCTTTTCATTTTATTTTATTTTTTTTTTTTTTTCTCGTCTCCACTGCGCATTTTTGCTCGACAGTCCGACAGCGAGCCCCGCCATGGACACACGCCTTGCAGCACTGATCCTGGCTCTGCTGGGCCTTTTCGGGCCCAGCGAGTGCAAGTACCGGCAGAAGAGGATCGTCGGTGGCGTGACGGTTCCCACACCACCGGTGGACGACCCTCTGGTGTTTGTCAGGAAGGGCGACCTCGAGGCTCGCGTCTTCGGCACCCGCGACCCCAAAACCGGCTACTATTTGTTCCGCGGTATCAGGTACGCCGAGCCACCGGTCGGCAATCGACGCTTCCAGGTGAGCACACCTTGGGTCATTCTCATTTTTAGTACAAAAATATAATAGGTATTATACCTCCTCGATGCGATATGTTTGAAGACTCTTCATGTATATACACATATTTACGCATTAAAATGTATTATTGCTTTTGAATCCGGTTGGACTGGATTTTTGTTTTTGGCACCGTTCGCTTGGGACTTATGCAAATCACCGTGGGGCCTTGATTCTGGAGGACCAAAACGATGAAGTAACCGTCGACCATCAAACTCGTCGTGAGACTCAATAAATTTCACCGCTTGACTCACACGTAGATCGTTAATACCTATACTTGTTTTGTTTACTTGTTGTTTTCAAATGGTTACACATCAAGTAGGTATACGACCGCGTCCGTACATAGGTGAAGAATATACATGCAAAGAGACGTTTACAAAAAAATTGCGTCACTTATTACGTTGTATTATATTCATGAGGCAAATTCAATTTTTCCGAAGGAAAAAAAAAAGGGGAATATTTTACCGTGAAATACGTACAGCAACAGACACAAAGTTGACCAAAGAGTAACGCGATAAGCTCTCCATCTCGCTATCGTATTCTCTCGACGACATCCTGAATCGGAAATAGAACGACACGCGTGATTATACGCACCGGGATGTGTTTTTTGTTTTTTTTTTTTTTCACACCAAGACAGCTGACCTAAAAAACGTAAGTATAACCGATAATAATGTCCACCCAATCAGCGTTCGGTGCCCCTGTACTTGGAAAACGAGGTGAACGCGACCGAGTGGGGCCCACCGTGTCCACAGCCAGGCGCCAACGGCGGAGTGATCGGTAGCGAGGACTGTCTCTTTCTGAACGTCTTCACGCCCGCGCTGCCCGACGCCACCGACGGCTACCCCGTGCTCGTGTGGATCCACGGCGGCAACTTTCGCCGCGGCGCGGCCACCCAGTACGAGATGCGCAACCTCGTCGAGAAAAAGACCATCGTCGTCTCCATCCAATACAGACTGGGATCGCTAGGTCCGGTACCCCCCAACGATATATAATATCATACAGCGCTCAAATGGCCACAATAACACTATCTGTCCCATGTACGTGTGTGTGTAGGATTCTTGAGCACCGGTACGAAGGACCTGTCGGGCAACAATGGCCTGTTCGACCAGATACTGGCCGTCGAGTGGGTCAGGGACTACATCGAGTTCTTCGGGGGCAACCCCAAGAGGATCACAGCCATGGGCCAGGGTAGCGGCGCCAGTTCGGCTTTCATGCTCGGCCTCTCGAAATTCGGAAACAGTACATACATACTTGACTCAACTTATATCAACCTACATGCACGATTCAACAATAAAACAAAGGGGGACTTTCCTCGCGTGTTCCCAAGCTTACTTTAGCGGCATCGTCGCCATGTCCGGCTCGCTCCTGTCGCACTTTGCGATCGACAGGGAACCGAGAAAATCGGCGGACGCCATGGCTACCGAGCACAAGTGTCCCGTGAACGACACCGTACGCATGGTGCGCTGCCTACGAGCCCTGCCCTTCGAGAAACTCGTCGACCAGGACACCAAGCAGGAGGGCTTCCTCAAAAAAGCCAAGAACTTTATTACCGATCTCTCGTCGCTCCTCAACCCAGGCCCCGTCGTCGAGGGAAAAAACGATTTCCGGTACGTATATACATGTATAAGCTTTCGGTCCGTACGTGTATAATATGATTGTCCAGGTATCTGCCGAATTTCGTGACCGACGAGCCGGAGAACTCGCTGAGCTTGGACGATTTGCCGGAGGTGCCGCTGCTCACCGGTGTGATGAAGGACGAGACCGGTGGGGCGGTGTACGGCCCCTTCCGGGACGTGATAAGCAGGACCCTCGAGGCGCTGCCGGATTTCATAACGAAGGAGCTAGTCCCGAGTCTGCAGAAAATCGTGCCGACGATCGGCGGGGTGACGAGGCAGTTTGTACCCGAGGCGTTTGGCAAGTACCTCGATCCGTTCGTCGGGGGCCCCGAGAGGGGCAACGGAGTCACCGACGGCATCCTCAAGGTCACGGAGGCCCTCAACGACGCGATATTCAACGTGCCGGCTTTCCTCACGGTCAAGAACTGGTCCAAGAAGACCAAGGCCTTCCTCTACAGCTTCGACCACCACAGCACCAAGGGCTTCGGCAACGACTTTTTACAAGGGCTGCCGATCGTCGCCGATTCCTCCCAAACCGGTGAGCCCGAGGCGTTTATTTTCGAGGGAGGGAGAGAGAGAGAAGTTTTTAATGTCAAACCACGCAGGTATGACGGGCCACGGGGACGACTTGGGCTACGTGTTCGAGCCGAACGGCATAGACGGCAAGGCCATGCCGGGGAAGAAGTTTGACGAGGAGGACGAGCGGGTCATGGATGTCTACACCGATATGATCGTCAACTTCGCCAGGAGCGGAGACGTCAAGGTCAGTGGGAAAAATCGGGACGGTGGTTCGCAGCTGTTCTCCCTGCCGGCTCTCACGGGATCGGACGACGATGGCTTCTTGAGCATTTCGTCGCAACCGAAAGTGGAAAACAAATTCAGGTGGGGCCTTTTTTTTTTTTTTCTTCCTTTTTTTTTTTTTTGTTCTTCCTTGCCACGATCAGAGAGGACATTGAACAAAACGAGCTTTGTGCAGGTTCTGCGAAATGGGCCTGTGGACCGGTCTGGAGGAGAGATTCAAGTCGGCGGCGTGTAGCCTCTTCTTCGTGGACATCCCGAACCCGCTGCAGACGTTCCAAAAGTCCGTGTCGGCCGTATCCAACGGCATCCCGTCGTTCCCCAAGGTTGGCTCCGTTGCCGATTTCTTCAACCCAAACTCGTCCCTGGCCAGCGCTCCTCCGTTCCAGGTTCCCCTCGAGATTCCGAAATTGCCCACCGTCATCCCGCAGAGCAACACTGCAGGCCTGCCGCAAATTCCATTCTTCAATCGGCCGTCGTCCGCCAGACCCACTCGGAGACCTACCTCGCCGAGGAGGCCCCTCTTTTCGACGAGATCGCCCAGCTTACTGAGGAACCCCCTCTCGATCGGCTGAGGCTCTCGACCGCTTTCTTTTTCCCTTCAGTTTGTCATTTTCTCCATGTCTTCTTGTAAAACAATTTTTAAGTCAACCTGTAAGTCCATAAGAGTTGTTGGAGAGTATCCGCGAAGAAAACAATGTAAATGAAATAAAACACGTGTGAAAAAAAAAAAAAAAAAAAANGTACATAATATGCATATACGTACAAGTGTATATTTTTCAGCCGAGCGTTAAAAGTCTATATACCTACTGTGTTCACGGGATGTACGTATAAGTACGCTTGTGTGTAATACCGTTGCGCGAATGTAACATGTACACAATAATGGTAATAATATACAGAGCGAAGAAAACAATGTAAATGAAATAAAACACGTGTGAAAAAAAAAAAAAAAAAAGAAAAAAAAAGATTGTAAATCCATTGCTGAAAGTACGCGTTCGTTTCAAATTGTTGCGTATATATGTATAGGATACAGTGATAAAATCCTACATGTATCAGATTTATCGGCGATTTATCTCGGAATTCCATCCGAGCGCAAGGCACATATAGTACCTCGACAAAGCGCGAGATGGCGCCGCAGAGCAGTCCGGAGAGCGACGACCGACGACGCGGGCTATTCAACCCCGATGGGCTTATATCGCGCGAATTCGCGATTTTCCGATCCGCCTCTCGAAAGCTCATCGCGATGCAAAAATGCGCGGGAGTGGGCGGCTTTTGTTATGCAAATCGATGCCAGCTCCCGTATCTTTTATCGTCGCCTTTTAAGGTACCCCCTCGTAGGCCGTTTCGGCTTGCGTAAAAATACTCGCGGGCCAATCGATCTAATCTCCCGGTGGTATACCTGTACGCACACCGCGCGCTCGACAAAATTTTTCCGACCCCGGAAAGATCGGGTTACTAATGCCCAGATATCGTCGTGCTTGTATATATATACGTACGGCCGATCGGAGGCCGCGCGCACGCGCTTTCATTAACATAATCACGAGAGAATGCGAGAAGCTTGTATACATGTATATATATGCGTGGAGTTTCATATGCGGAAAGCAAATTGCAATATTCCATTGTGTGATGTGTGTGTCGGTCGGAAACGAATAAACGCGCAACCTGTACCATACGTACATTAAGCATAGACGAGGAAATCGAAGCACGAAATTTTATCATCTGGATTTCCAAGGGATTTTCAGCACGCTGGCCCGAAATGTAACATCTCTACAGGAGCTCTCGGCTCTCCCATGTATATACTTTTTTTTTTTTATATTATAAGTGACCTCATAATATGAGGTATTTACACTTCGATGTATCCTACTTATACGCGGACGTTGCCCAATTATCCCATTACCTCCGTAGGTATATACTCTATATTTATATACTTGTACTTGTCGCAAAATTCATGTGTAACTTCCTTTCTACATGTACATCCGTTTGAATTTGCATTTATCGCGTCTCTTATTTTTTTCCCCGCACATCCTTTGTTCTCGCGTCAAGCGCTACTTGGAGCTACTTGTTCCGTTTGATGCGTTCAAAAGTACGTGCTGGAGCATTTTTATTTGTATTGTACTCCTTATGATGTCATATTATTTAAGTACATATTCACATTTCCGCTAAACGAGTGAGCCAAGTTTGGTGAAGCCTTTTTTTTTTTTTTTTTTTTTTCAAGAACATTTCATCAAAAAATCTGTAACTTGTATTATTGTTTGAGATATTTAGGGGGTATATATTGCTTCTTTACCTTGTAAAAAAATGAAAAAAATTCAATCGTCGAAAAGATGCAATTACGGTTTCGAAAATTGAAAGCGCGTACTCTCTGAAAGTCATAAACTGCGAAAAAAACGCAATGTCACCGCGACCCTAAGCCTATGTATAGCAGAAAAAATAAAAAAAAACAGAAACGAGCACCCGTAAAAAGTATCACCTTGTCGAGTCGCGACAATTGGCACTCCGTACAAGCAGTTATATTCTTACACAAGAAGACACTTCAGGAAAAAATAAATATCACGACTGGAATATAAACGACGTTATTACCTGCAATTATAAGCTGTAACGTAATAGTTTTTTATTTTTATTATTTATTTTTTTTTTTTTTTATATTAGCGCACGCACAAATATACATTCAAGTGTATTAAAATCGCACGCATTGGGTAAATCAGGTGAAGATAATTTTTGCGCGGGAGTGATTTTGCAATGAAACAAATCGAGCCGAATTGAACGAAACTTCGCACTCGAAGCGTTATTAAGGTTAAAAAAAAAAAAAAATACCCACATTTCCCTCGGTCGACATTGCGCCATGACTCAATTGTTGTTACTTATGCGTTTCGTTTCTACTGTTGCGACCGCGTCAAAACACGATCCGAATCACTCGTTGCATAAAGCGCACTTCCTTATGCAATGATTTCGCGAAAATAGAAAAAAAAATCTCTACCCCCCCCTCCTTCTCTATGTATCTGCGGATCGCTCGCGAAATTCCACGCGAGATCGACCTTGCGACGTAGGGGGGGAAAAAAATCGCGAAACACAATAGCCCATCTTATGCATACGATCGAGCGCGTGGACATGCATGCGTGTGTATACATGGTATATGTTTATTTATGCGATCTCGAGACCCACACACGTGCTTCGGATAAACACACGAGGGTATATACGTATTATTATGTATGATATACGCACCCATGCATATATATATATATACACGAGGTACTCGCGGGGCGCGCAAATTTTATACGACAAAACTATATCACTGCAATTTGCAATTAAATGGATGATTTTGTTTACTCTGTGTATGTGTGTGGATTTTTTTTTTTTTGTGGCATAGTCTTTGCGTATGATTAAAAATCACGTGCAGGAGAGAAACGAACGAGGGTAAGAAAAATCGTGTGGTATTTTGTTTTCTCTGCGTTGACGACGACGAGGATCGTAGTGGTGGTGGTGGTTCGGGAGAAAATAGTTTTATAATTTATGCGATGCGTGGCACAAACAATGTACAGGTATAAGAGCAAAACAACGAGTTATCGTATGATTATTTAGAGAAAACCAACAAAGCGTTAATCAAACTGTATAGACCCACGCGCTTGAAAAATCGGTAATATTTAATGCCCGTCGCAACAACGTATAAACCTATACATATAATACATACGTATGCATCGAAAGTATATTTATCGGCTTTCTAAAAATCCGGGTATTTAGAAAGTTATTCGCTCGAGCCGATATATATTTTTATACCCTACAGGATATACGTATTGTGCGCGCGTTTCCTCAAATCAAATCATTCAACCGAGCCGCATTACGCTCGCTCGCTATACCGATTTTTATGTACCTGGCATAAATATAAGATACAGGTACATAATATGCATATACGTACAAGTGTATATTTTTCAGCCGAGCGTTAAAAGTCTATATACCTACTGTGTTCACGGGATGTACGTATAAGTACGCTTGTGTGTAATACCGTTGCGCGAATGTAACATGTACACAATAATGGTAATAATATACAGAGTATATGTATACGTATAGGTAAGCATATCTTTAAATCATAGCTCGCGCGTTTCATCGATTAACAAGACAAGCAGTGCTACAAACAATTAAGATCGGTAAGAATCGAGCCTTTTAATGAGCGATGCCCTGAAAAAAAAAAAAAAAAAAAGGAATCCAAATAGTTGTAAAATACGCGCATAAAATTAAATTATCACGGGTAACTGTTTATAATGTACACGTATATGCGGAATCACCTACAATTGTGTGAGCATACACACGTGTACGTGTAACTGTATAAGCAACAAACAAAAGTAACACACACAAAGTGTGGTACGCAGGTAGGTAGGTATATGTTATCGTAGAAGAAGAATACAACACCCTGATGTACTCTCGGCTGTAAATGATTTTTCCAAGATTATTCTCGCTCGAAAGAAGGAGAGAGGAATAAAAAAAAAAAATAAATAAATAAATAAGGCCCTTTCGAGCCTCTCAGGAGTACAACCATGTAACCTTTCGCCCGTAGGTCCCACAAGCCAATGATTGCCCATAGCGCCCAAACTGGCCCAGTGCACGCACCACTTGTCTACATGTATAGGTTATACGTATACCTGCACCCACGCCTATGAGGTGTACATATACGTGGGTCTCCCATGTATTATCACTCATACACGTACGACTAAGGTGAGCGGTGGTGTGGAAGTGGGGGTCTTGTATATATACATATACGTGTAGCTGCGAAAGGAGAGGAGAGAGAGAGAGAAAGCCTGGGACCGGCACCATATATCGTTTATCATATACCTGTATGCAATGTTATAATATATATACCCACCAGCCATATAGATCGAGTCTCACGAGAGAAAGAGCCCGCGGAGCCGTGCAACGGCGGGCGTCGTGCCTCCACAGCCGCGCTTCAGTTCCCCTACCAACCGGTGTCCAGTTATGTTGTGTACCGCCGCCACACCGTGCCCCACGGTGATGATGCCCATGTAGGCACCTCATGTACACCGCATACGCGTCCGTTGCCGATCGGTTTGTCCTGTTTGTCGTGCGAATTTTCCGTCACAACCGCGTGTATACACCTAATATACACTTTGATCGGTACTGAGATGCATACAAGTGTCGCTACAATCCGAGGTGCAGTGTGTACTTATTGTGTGAATCGACGACCATCACCTTGCGGGGTAGTGCGCGAAAATCATCCTCCTCCTCCTCCCCAGTAACGTGGGGACAAACAAACGGACGGACAGACAAACATCGAGATCGGAAATAAAAAGAGAGCGGAGCTCAAGTAGAAAGCAGCTCCGAATCGGTTAGCCGTGACTTTAGTGCGAGTTGTTCGATATATTATATATTATACTCCTGTCTACGAGTAGGTATATAGTTGTTTTCGTGCGTGTACGAAATCACTAACGATTTCCCTTCCTGGCAACGCGTTAATTAAATACTGTGCGCGCGTGTGCATGTGTATGTATGATATATATATACGTAATATTTGTACGCTCCTTCGATTGCCGATTTCAGTGCGTACATCGGTTTATTGCTCCAAAATGCTGTGCTCGGTGATGTATTGTCATCATCGGCGACTCGAACTGCAGGCGCTGCTGCAACGCTCAAACGAGAGGTGAGTAAGAACATTGGCATCGGCGCGCAAGCGCGCACGTATACACACACACACACACACACACACACACACACACACACACACACACACAACATACGTGTACGGGATTCGCGAGTCGAGAGGATGAGAAGAGGACGGCACGTGAAGGAAATCGGCAATAGATCGGTATGGTCTGCGACTATACATATACACGTAACGTTGTGTGCTCGTGCTTTTTTCCGCGGTACGCTTTTTGTATACGCGCTGCACCGGTACTTTAGTTGGCTGTATGGGCCCCGATCGGTATATACACAACTAACTGCTGCCATTTTGAAAAATGTATCTACGGGTGCAGCTTACGCGAGGTCTATATGCATGGATGTACGTACGTAGATCCGAGAGAAAAAGAAAAAACTCTGCGTACGAAGTCGAACGGAGCTCCGGGGAAGTTGGGGCATGCATGGGAAAGTCGACTTTTTTTTCCCTTCACCGAGTGTAAGTAACATATACCTGCACTGCACGAGTCATAGTCCTATGTGAGTCAGGTAAGCCCCACAAAGTAACCGACGTCACTCTTATATTATGTGGATTAGCCTTTTGTATCCATTAACGTTTCATATACGTGGCACGTTGTACCCAAAATCGGTATGAAACGAGGGAGGAAGCGTAGGGTCTTTGTAGACGTAAAAAAGAAGGAAAAAAAGGAAGAAATAAAAAAAAAAATTCGACACGCACACAAGGGCGTACTCGGCCGCGCTTCCTCTTTAGGCTTGTTGCAGCAGCACGGCTTCCTGTGCAACGCGCGAGTATCCGCTTTTCTGTCATGCTTCAGGTTTTCGCCTTGCCCATCTCGTGTTTCGTCATCGCGTGTATACCTGTATACCTCATACCCATACCTATACAATATATATATAAATACATACATCGCATATTAACCGTATGGGGCCATACACCCTCCCATTCTTAATGTTGTACACGCTAATATACTAAAGTTAGACCCGATCCCATAAGTATAAATAGGTACATGTACAGGTATATCATATTCCATATTCGTTGCGTCCTCCTCCCTTCTTTTTTTTTTTTTTTTTTTTTTTTTTTTTTTTTTTTTTTTTTTTTTTTTTTTTTTTTT